TTTTACTTTTAGAATAACAGCTGGTGTAATGAATCCTAAACATGTGCTTGTTTATTTACAAAGAGCTAATAAAAGTAATTCACAAGAACAAAACCCTCATTTATTAGATACTTTTAAAGTAAATGCTAATAATAGCAATTGTACTTTGCAATCTTGTCGTCTTGAAGTTGGAAATGGTGTTTTTTACCCCGAAACAGAATATTCTAGTATAACGAGAATATATGACGATGTAATAAATTATTTTCACAAACAAAATGATAAAAATACTGGGTCCCTTTTAAATATATCAAACTTTGAGGGTTTGTTTGGATTCATTCATTTTAACTTGGAATTTAAAAAAGAAGAAATTGCATCTGATCCTAAGCATCTTACATTAGATGCAAAATTAAATGTACCGCCAGCTGCAGCTATTCATGTCTATGCCATTGTAATGTATGAAGAAACAGTTCAATTAAATACTATTGGAAATGAAATTGTTATTGTTTAAGACAGACGTCTTTGGTAAAAAAAATAATTATATAAATTATATAAATGTCTTACATTGAATATAAAATAAATTTATCAGAAGGACAAAAGCACAAACTTGCGAAATCATATAGAGATAAATGCCCTTATACTTTAAGATTGAAGTATGAAGATTTAAATGGTACTTTCCCAATACTTTTAACACAGACACAAATAAATAAAATTGATAGGGCTAAATAGAATAAATCTGGCTTAGAAATTAAGATATCACGGGAACAAATGCCCAGTCAAGGCGGTTTTCTTAAACTTTAATTCCGTTTATTACAAAATTGGCTCCAAAAATATTAGCCCCTTTAGGTGTTGGAGCATTAAGTGGTTTGGCTAGTACTGGTGTAAGTAAAATACTTGGAAACGGTATGGTATCTGTAGCAAGAAATAAAAAAAATAAAATATTACCATTTATTACACCCCAGCATTTAAGAAAACAATTAAGTCCACCTTAACAAATCTGGTGGTGCTGTGCTCGGAGGGCAAATTATGGCAGCCATTAAATCTACCCTAAACATCAGAGGTTCTCCAGCACAATCAGCTCGAAATTTTCCCAGGGACAACCGTCACAGAATACCACCACATCAATCTTATTGGAACAACAGAAACCAACATCAGAGGAGACAGCAGTATCAGGGTCACAACAGGATACCCCAACACAACTTCAACAGAAGGATGCCAGTGTGGATGCAGAGGCCATATCCATGGACACCAGTGCATCGTGCACCATACTAACTGTACAAAGTGGAATAGATGACAAACTCCATTTCGAAGCTCTTAATGATTCTACATCTTTACATACTCATCTAGAAAATAATAATAGTCAAGAAAATAAATTTCCTCTTAAAATAAGTAATAACAATCTGGACTCATCACATCAAGACTTAAAACTCCAAGACTTAAAATTTGACAAAAATGGACTTAACTTTTTGCATCTCAATATACATTATTTATATCCAAAATTCAGTGAAATACAGTTTCTAGTTGATAAACTCCCGGATATTGACATTCTTGGATTACAAGAAACCTTTCTCAGTGATGCCTTCTCAAACAATGAAATTAATTTAAAAAATTATCAACTTTTCAGGCATGACAGACAGTCAAATGGGGGAGGAATAGTGTTATATGTAAAATCAAACTTACATTGTGAGAGTAGAACAGACCTTAATTCAAGCGATATTGAAGCAATATGGATAGAAATGAAGCTTGACAAACAAAAACCTTTAATTGTAGGATATATTTATAGGCCCCCTTCATCACTTAATTCATGGATTGAAGAAATTGAAAAAATATTAGAAACCTTATACGTTGAAAACAAAGAAATTATTCTCTTTGGGGATTTCAACTACAATTTTATTAACTCTACTTCAGTTAATTCAAAATGGAATAATACAATCAGTACATTCAATTTAAATCAACTGATAACACAACCTACTAGAGTCACGCAAACATCATCAACTATCATTGACCATCTTTACACAAATCAGCCACAAAATATATGTAATATTAAGGTCCCAATTCTTTCTATAAGTGACCATTCCCCCATTGTTTTTACCCGTAAAACTAAGTCAAAAATAAAAAAAGGCCCATTACATCTTACTATCAATTATAGAAATTTAAAGCAATTTAATGCAGAACATTTTTTAGCTGATCTAAGTAATCAACCATGGACATTGATTGATGTTTTTACTGAACCAGATGATGCTCTTGACACATTTTATGAATTATTTTTAAAAGTTCTTGATTCACATGCACCATATAGACAAAAACGGGTAAAACACAAAAACCAGAATGAATGGTTCACAGATGAAATAGCCAATGCTATTCATATGAGAGATTATGCAAAAAAGAAAAAGAAAACAGAAGAATTTAAATACTGGAGATCACAAGTTAAAATACTATCCCATCAATCAAAAAAAGACTTCTTTAATCAAGAAATAAATTCACAGAATAAAAATCCTAAAAAGTTATGGAAGAACCTAAAAGTACTATCTGGCAAAACTGACAACTTCCAAACAAACTATATAAATGATGACAATGGAAATCCAGTCTCTGACCCGAAAGAAACAGCAGAAATATTCAATACTTTCTTTTCAAACGTCTTTAAAAAATCAGGAAATATTTCAGCACTGAATAAAGCAAATGAATCTATATTAAAAGAAATGTTAGAAGGTAAATTTAACTTAGATATTCCAGATTTTGAGATACCACCAATTGAACCGGATTATGTTAAAAAAACATTAGACTCACTTGATGTTGAAAAGGCCACAGGGCTCGATGGAATCAGTGCTAGATTTCTAAAAACTGCATCTTCTGTAATATATAGACCTTTATCTACTATTATCAATTTAAGTATTCAAACAGGAAAGTTTCCTACCAAATTAAAACAATCAAAAGTTACACCCATTTATAAAAAAGGACAAAACTCTGATAAAAATAATTACCGACCAATATCTGTACTTCCACTCATTTCTAAAATATTTGAAAAGCATGTATCTGACCATCTAAAACAATTTCTAGAAACTCATACGTTTATTTATAAGACCCAGTCAGGATTCAGAACCAAGCACTCTTGTGAAACAGCATTAACAAACATAGTTGACAATTGGATAAATGCAATAAATGATGGAGAACTAGTTGGCACAATTTTTCTTGACCTAACCAAAGCATTTGACCTTGTAAACCATAAAATTCTTATTCAGAAACTGCATTATTACCATTGTTCTTCTCATACAATTAAATGGTTTTCATCTTATCTTGCAAACAGAACACAGAAAGTCAGTGTATCAGGTAAACTCTCAGAATCTGCAGAGGTTATATCAGGTGTTCCCCAAGGATCTGTCCTTGGGCCCCTGCTTTTCATTATATACATCAATGATCTCCCACTTCATTTAGAGACCTCAGAAATAGACATGTTTGCAGATGACATCACTCTTACAGCATCATGACATTCACCACAAGAACTTCATATTTAACTTTAAACTAAACTAAACATGTAAACCTAAGGACCATACAAAATGCAAGGATGTTAAATATACAGAAAATGGGCATTGCACCTTACATCAAATAACACACAACTTCATTTACCACCTTTACACCTTCAAGATCAAAAGTACTGGGTGTTTTGTTGACAGTAAACTAAAATGGAAACTCAAGATAGAAATGATACTTAAAAATGCAATTCTCAGTTATACCTTCTTCTCAGCAATATCTAAACTACATGCAAGAAAACTATTCTTTAACTCATACATCTTACCACACCTAGATTATTGCTGTACTATCTGGGGCAATTGCAGCAATGATCTGATCAATGATATCATAAAATTTCAAAAAAGAGCAGCAAGAATAATTCTAGATAAAAATTACGATGCACCCTCTAGTGATTTGTTTAAAGAACTAAATTGGATGAGATTTGATGAAAGAATGAAATACAAAAAGCAATCATAATATTTAAATCTATCAATGACATACCATATCCACAATACATGCAAAGTAAATTCCAATTTGTACACCAAAAACATGAGCGCAACTTAAGATCTACAAATAGTTCAGACCTAGCTGTTCCACGACCTAAGAAAGAATTTTTCAGAAAATCCCTAGTATACTCTGGCCCTAAATTATGGAATAATATCCCTCTTAACATAAGAAAATCTAAAACAGTTCAGGAATTTCAAGCTTCATATCTATCCTGGCATTTCTCATCATTAAATTAATCATTTTATAACAAAATTAGAATCCAATCATTTGATGTACCACCTTATATGTATTTCCCACTTCTTTTAATTTGATATGTACTTCTTTGACATGTTTTATGCTATGAATGGACTGTAAATATTTAACATGTTTTTCCTGTTCTGACAATTTCAATTTACATTGTAACATAATATTGTTGCAATTATTTTTGTAATATTGTAGTTGTATATATTGTAAATTATGTTTTTATTAGAGGCCCACATGGAAGATTGGGAAACCAAATGTGTAGCCTCGATAAATAAAGCCTTTACTTACTTACTTACTTACTTACTTACTAATGAATGACGGGGAAATTTAGTTAAATAACAAGCAACGGCAAGATGGTGGTTTCCTTGGTATGTTAGCAGCATCTCTAGGAATACCTTTAATTACATCATTATTAAGTGGCAAGGGTTTACAGGTTGATGCACAACGAGTTCCATATAGACGAATTCCCAGGGTAAAAAAAAAATAAAATTCCTGAACAAACCATTATCTAACTTTGAAATAGAACAATGGGTAAAACAACTTGGTATTCAAAACTTTCAAGGCGTCTTCAGTAGAAATAATTTACCTTCTAATAGTAAAGAATGCGGGATAATAAATTTAGATGACTTTATTGGACCGGGTACACATTGGGTGTGTTATTACAGAAATAATTACTTCGACCCTTTCGGACTTCCTCCACCAAAAGAGGTAATCAGTTACATTCCAGGTTTGAATTATAACAACATACAGTATCAAGATAAAACAAGTGTGTTGTGTGGTTATTATTGTTTATATTTCATACATTTATTACAACAGAAAGTGTCTTTATATGATATATTATACAAACATTTAAACATCAATAATCAAAAAGAAAATGAACAAACAATAATAAACTATTTCACTAATGTTTAAAAATAGCAAAAGCGTGTGCCGACACTCGTCGCTTTGCGCTTCATTGACTCTACAAAAGTTTTCCAATACAAGAGCCTTCCCCTTACTTTCCAATATTCAACACAGCGAATGGTAAAATCAGTCTGCCGACACTCGTCGCTTTGCGCTTCATTGACTCTACAAAAGTTTTCCAATATTCAACACAGCGAATGGTAAAATCAGTCTGCCGACACTCGTCGCTTTGCGACTCTTATTCCACGGATATTCAATTACCATTTCAATTCATCAAATATCCGTGGAATAACACTCCAATGCTTTTGTAGAAAATGCAATGACAATGAACAATGAATTATATCAGAATGATTGAGTGAAAACTTGTACAATTTAATTAAAAAGTTACAGTGTGAAATTTTATATGGTATACCATTTTCTTTAATTTTATTAAAAAATCCACCTTTTTCAAAATCCTTGATTTTTTTTAAAACTTCTCCTTTTTGAATGTTATATAACAACTTTGTTCTTCCAGCACTCTGCGTATGCCTGTCTAGTGTTTTTAAAGTTTTAAAACAGCTGTCGGTGTTTTCAAGCTCCAAAGTAACCTCTCCAGCTAAGTTCCGATCTTTTGAATATGATTTTTGTACCTCATTTTTAACTTGATTGTATGATTTGTTTGCTGTTGTGTTATTATTTTGTTGCACATCTGGAACCTGCTGCAATGACTTCAATCCCAAATCGTTAAGATTTTTGAATTCCTCTGTACTGATAAAGTCTTTTTGTTTATTATTCAACGAATCCATTTCATCTTCTGTAACTGTTTTTTGATGATGATCTTTCATAAAATTATGAATGTTAGAAATGTACCCAATTGTGTTTTTATAAATACACATTTTATTGTATTCATCCTGCGTAATTACTTCTCCGTTCTCCGTTTTACGAGAAAGAAATTCCTCCAGATTTTTTATATATTTGAAGATCTCTATCGCAAATTGTTCAGCCCTAAAATAAAAACAAAATTTAATGATTAACGAAAGAACTTCATAGATAAAAGAATAAATAATTCATTTACTATATTTGTTAGAGAAAAATGGTAAAACAACTTACATTCTGTCTAATCACTCTGTATTCCTGGCTGATGAAATAATGACAACGCATTTATCACCTACTGATTTTTACACTAGGCGAATGTTCTGGACATTGGATGACGTTTCACTATTGATCTTTAGACTATTAGCGGAAAAACTGTCCACGTGATACGGAACGATAATAACATATTGATTTATAGGCTGCAACTAATTAAAAGTTGGTTCCTAAGGTATGGAAAAGGACAAACATTTTTTTTACCCATAATTAACCGCCTTGTTTTACAAACTTAGATTTCAATTTACCACATGAAGCACACACGGCTTTTATCATTAATCTTCTGTTTTTTGTTGTAACATATTGATGATTTACATTATCAGTGTATGTTCGTTCTTTCAAACAATATATTTGTTTTTCTAAATTCATTTATATATTTAAATTATAAAAAAGTACAAGAGCCTTCGTCGGTTCCCGCCTTCGTCGGTTCCCTTACAAGAGCTGCCTGTCTTACAGTATTCTATTTATGAGTAGTATATAATATGATGGTTCCGGGGGGGTTTTGGCCTGAGGGTGTTCTTAAATCAATAAAATGGGGTTTATGTCGAGCTGTCTTACTTTTTGGGTTGATGGGTAAGCCATGTCGAGCTGTCTTACCCTTTGGTTTGATAGATAAACACTTTTTTAGGCTTCAAAGTGTCCCGGAACCATCATATTATATACTACTCGTCTAAGATAAATCATGTGACCGATCAGCTGATGAAATTCATGCTATTTATAGAAAAAATATATACTACGACGCTCGCAAAAATATGCGTCACGGAAAACACACGGCTATAATATTACCGCATCAAATGCAAAAGTACTGTGTCAAAAACGCAGAAAACGCTCTCTAGAGAAAACACTGCATGAAGTGATGTAATTAAGTGAATATGAATGAAACCAAATAAAGCTTGATACTAAGTTCTTATATATCTTGTATAATGTGCTTAAGTTATTTCATAAGAGGTCATGACCTCAAATAATTTCATCAGCAAACAGCAGGTCATTCACATGTATGAAAGAAATTCCAGCATGAGTTGTTTCCCTTTCATTAAACTATAATTTGAAGAAATGCCATGGTCTGGGGTATCTTAGCTTTAGCAGTCCCTAAAAGGGGCCAATCAAATAAATATGAGCAATTTTTATAAGAGATTACTATAAGAATGCTAATAATAAAGTTTGGTGATCATCCATCAATAAGTTCTGTAGAAAAAGCTGTCTAAAGGTTTATATCATTTTAGCTCCCTTGACCCCTAAAAGGGGCCTATCAAATTAATATGAGCAAATTTGATAAAAGACTACCTCAGAATGCTACAGACAAAGTTTGGTGATCATCCATCAATTGGTTCTGTAGAAGAAGATGTCTAAATGATTTGCTATTTTTAGGTCTAGAGACCCCTAAAAGGGGCCAATCAAATTGATATGTCAGCAATCTTGATAAAAGACTACCCAAGAATGTTACAAAGTTTGGTTATCATCCATCAATTAGTTCTGTAGAAGAAGATGTCTAAAGGTTTTTCTATTTTTAGCTCTGTTGACCCCTGAAAGGGGCCAATTGAAATCGCATGAGCAAATTCAAGTGTGACTGTCACAAGGATGCTACAGACCAAATTTGAAGTAAATCTGTCCAGCGGTTTCAGAGAAGAAGACGATTGTTGACGCATGACGACGGACGCCGGGGTATCCCCCTTGATACTAATAGCTCACCCTGAGCCTTCGGCTCTGGTGAGCTAAAAAAACACTACAATTTGTTACCTCTACAATAATTACAATATACCAGCAGTTCTATTATTTCAATACAACAGTCAATTCTATTTTAAGTTATTACAATACACCAGTCAGTTCTATTATTACAATATATCAGTAAGGTCTATTATTACAATACACCAGTCAATTCTATCATTACAATACATCAGTCAGTTCTATTATAACAATACACCAGTCAGTTCTACGAGGGTTGATCAATATATTCATGGACGCTATAAATAACTTAATAATTAATCAAGATATTATAAAGAATTTTCGCTTTTTAGGAGAAGAATTTAATACAATTACAAATATGATGTAATTTTAATAAAAAATCTCATTTTGTTGATTATATGTATCGCCATAGCAACCCTATGCCGTACGGATGCCGCAGCTTAAAAAAAAATATATTTACCATTTTAAAATACTTAAATATTGTCCTTAGATTGGTGCCCTTCTTTATTATACGATAATGACATCAACGTTCTTTCATAACGGTTATAGAACATTTGAAAAAAAACAAGGAAGAGTTAAAGGGACACAAGTTTACCGGGCTCCATGATTTACAGTCAAGGGCATTGTCTGTGTTGCGTTCATTTGATTTATAAGAACATTTTCAGTCAGTGGGTTCACAGGCATGAACGATGTGTAAAAGTTGGGGCTGCGTTTTTTTAGAAGATGAAAACGCCAACATCACGACCTAACGTAAGTTGCCAATCAGCTGCAGCGATCAGCTATACATGTATTTCTGAAAACTGTCATTTCGGATAAAATATACTGATTATTTATCTGAAACTTACACAACATATTGATACAACATTGAATAAATGTCAAATACAATTATATTTACTTTCCTTCCCCGAAAAAATAATTTATGAAGTGCGTCCATAATATATTGATCAATTCTCGTATTATAACAATACACCAGTAAGGTCTATTATTACAATATATCAGTCAGCTCTATTATTACAATACACCAGTAAGGTATATATTACAATACACCAGTCAGCTCTATTATTACAATACACCAGTCAGTTATATTATTACAATATACCAGTCAGCTCTATTATTATAACACACCAGTCAATTCTATTATTACAATACACCAGTCAGCTCTATTATTACAATATACCAGCCAGCTCTATTATTACAACACACCAGTCAATTCTATTATTACAATAAACCAGTCAGCTCTATTATTACAATACACAAGTCAGTTATATTATTACAATTAATATACCAGTCAGCTCTATCATTACAATACACCAGTCAGTTCTATTATAACAATACACCAGTCAGTTCTATTATTACAATATATCAGTAAGGTCTATAATTTCAATATACCAGTAAGCTATATTATTACAATATATCAGTAAGGTCTATTACAACAATACACCAGTCAATTCTATTATTACAATATATCAGTAAGGTCTATTATTACAATTCACCAGTCAATTCCATTATTACAATACACCAGTAAGGTATATTATTACAACACACCAGTCAGTTCCATTATTTCAATACAAAAGTCAGTTCTATTATTACAATATATTAGTCAGTTCTATTATTACAATACACAAGTCAGGTCTATTATTACAATACACCAGTCAGTTCTATTATTACAATACAACGGTCAGCTCTATTATTACAATACACCAGTCAGTTCTTTTATTACAATACAACAGTCAGTTCTATTATTACAATACACCAGTCAGCTCTATTGTAACAATACACCAGTCAGTTCTTTTATTACAATACAACAGTCAGTTCTATTATTACAATACACCAGTCAGCTCTATTGTTACAATACACCACTCAGCTCTATTATTACAATACACCAGTCAGTTCTATTATTACAATACACCAGTCATTTCTATTATTACAATACACCAGTCAGTTCTATTATCATTACAATACACCAATCAGTTTAATTATTACAATACATCAGTCAGTTCTATTATTACAATACACCTGTCAGTTCTATTATAACAATACACCAGTCAGTTCAATTATTACAGCATGATAAATGCTTGTGATATTATCTCTAACGATTGCAACAGTCGTGTATGGTGTAACAGATCGATGTCAACCTCGTGAAAATTAACAGTTTTTTGTTACTTTGGCGGCCAGTACTCGTTAAGTATAAGAGGGATAAGAAAAGATTTACATTGGTTCGATTGATGAATCATTTGACTACATATTGCATAATTCCTTTTTATTTATGCTGAATCGTGAAAAAACCTGCTAGGCAAAAACCCTGATTTGGCATAGACACCTTCTTATGGGAGTTGTTACCCTTGTCTAGATATATTAGTATATAGCGTAGTGGGAATGGACTTAGAATTCATTTCTGACTTAGGATACTGGTCGGGGACCATCAGCCGGACACTTTTTCAACATTTTTCTGTACAGATTTCATAATTTTTAACCTAGAGACCAAAAAAATTGACAAGGTTCAGCTAGGTTCTTCTCCTAACTAACAAACTAGTTTGTTTATTTCTGATTGTATTGACACTTATATTTGAGGCTCGACAAGGAGGGTATCAAAATTACCTCAATTGTGTACACTACAGTACCAAGTGTCCGGAAATTTATGTACATGACATGATTTAATTCAGATAAAAGCTTGGGTGTTTTGATTTTTAATTTTTAGCATGTTAGACAATATTTCAGCAACAAATGCTGAAGTTTTGGAAATTCTATTGTTTACTCTGCAAATGATTATAGCTGGTATATGAGGTCAAGCATTGTTTTCTTGACCCTCAAATTTCAACGTCAATATTCTTGAAATAGCTATTAAAATATTACCATTTACGGTGGTTGAAATAAATTTATTTATTTATTTTTAGAAGAAACATGCATTTATTGTTGATAAAAAAGTGACTGACCACCACTGAACAAAGAAAATACTAAATTTAGCATTTTCAGGGCCGTCCGGGTTTGGTGGTTGTCCGGTTTTGTGGTCCCCAACCAGTAAATGTTTTCCACCACAAAATACATATTTTGTGAACATTCAATGAGCCGTACCCCTTTGTATAGGAAGTGGCTAGCCGTACGGGCCCGTACGACTAGCCAAAAGTTCTAGTCGTACGTGAGTCACTGTATTGGCTAGTCGTACGGCACTTTTTAAAATTATATTGAAGTCGAAAATGCATATGTTATTTTATGACTTTAAAGCTAGGATTTTAACCAAGAAACAGCAATCCTCTTCGTATGTTTACTTTCTAGAGATTAATCCGTCGCCATGTTGGCTACAGTACAGTAAAGAATTAAGTATGAATATCAATCTTTGTCATCTCCAGATGGCGAGAAAAATAGGCGTTTAAAAATTGGTTGCAGTTGAAAAACATCAATAGATATCTAGATTGAAAAATGGCATAATAATTAGGTTAAAATTGTTTATTACCATTTATCTGAAGTTGAGTTTGTCAAAATTTCTCCAACATACAGAACTAATTATATTTTAACATTGTATGACAATTTTTATGTGGCACAGTTTATATTTTGTTAACTGATTGAAAAGTGGTTGTGAAATCTTGAAGAACAGGCAAATGGGTCAGTAATGATTTGTCCTCGATTCATAGTAATAATTCAAGTAAAATTTTAAAAAAGTTGGTGCATTTATTAGCTGAAATGATAATATTCGCAGAATTGAAAGAGACTTTTTTTATATATAATTTCACTGTCAGTTATTGTTAAAAAAACTGTTAGCTGATCGGAAAGAGGCAGTACGGGGATATATTATACCTTCGTAAATGGAGGAGCATCTTTATTAAAGGGAAAAACAAGGTTAGAATAAAAACTTGATTTCAGAAAAAGAATACTATAAATAATAAATCTGCAAATTTTCTGCCGCCAAATAATAATATTAAACGAAGGATAACAAAATTTAAATCGCTAAATCACCGATTTCTACAAATCAGTAAGCGCGGCCATGTTTGTGTATTGGCCGTATAAAAACAGGTGCGCGTGATGTCATTTCCCCACATCTTTAGATTCATGATAAATCTAGTTGAATCGTAAGGAAATATTAATATAATAACGTATTGACCAGACAATTTAATTTTCACAGGAGGTGTAGAGGAGATTTTTTTATGGTTCAAAATACGTAACAATATAAAAAAAAATAGTATAAAATAAAGAAACGTACGGCTAGCCAAAAGTTCTAGCCGTACGTGAGTCACGTACGACTAGCCAGGACGCACTGTATTGTCTAGCCGTACGGCACTTTTCAAAATTATATGGAAGTCGAACGTTATAAAATTGTTGATTTTCATGCTTATCATTTGTTGTTTTATTTGTATGAAAGATGAATTATTAAATCATTTTTGTTAATTTTAAGCACATGGATCGAATAAAAAATGATCGGAGTGGAATAAATAAATAAAAAGAACATTGAAAAAAAAAACAAAAAACGGTGAAATGCAAAAATAATTATATAATTTTCAAAACAGTAGATAAATATCGAACATATAAGCACAGTCAATCAATTAATTAGCTTTAATTAAGACCTATCCAGGGACTGACAATAGAATTTTAGAATGCCTTTCACGTAACATGCAAACGTTCCTTGATGGACAAACTTCTATACAGTACCGTCGGTAATTGTCGCAATTATCAAGAGCATTTTCAGTGTTTGTTGTGTTTTTTTTCATATTAAAGGTGTCGAAAATTAAACTTAATGAAACAAAAAAAGGATTATGATCAAAATTTTGTAAACTATTTCAATTGCTGTAAATGCAACCAAAGGCTATTTTTTTCTCGACATCTTGCGATGACAAAGATCAATATATATAGCGATCAAGGCGATGAATCTCTAAAAAGTTAACATCCGAAGACAATTAATGCTGTTTCTTGGTTAAAATCCTCGCTTAAAGTCATAAAATAAGTAATAGAAAGAGCACCGAAACATGAGGCTATCTGATTTGTACGAGGGGGCGTAGCCCCCGAGTATAAATCAGATTGCCGAGTGTTTTGGTGTTCTTTCTCTTTTGTATCATAGTCAAACATGACAGCACATTCCCTGTTGTCATAATATGAAACCCCAGAAAAAATTAACCAATGAACGAGCATTTGAATATGATAGTTCTGCCCCTTTCCCTTTCTCTGCCGTCACAATATGTAAACCCCGGCAAAAATGAACCAATCCACGGGCATTATCTGGAGTGCGGGTAACTGATACCCGCACTCCAGTTACCGCACTGTGCATGTATATGTATACGATTTAACTCTGACACTTTTTCATCAGAAAGGTACCCAAACTATGATACAACATATGCATTTTTGACTTCCATAAAATTTTGAAAAGTGCCGTACGGCTAGCCAATACAGTGTGTTCTTGCTAGTCGTACGTGACTCACGTACGGCTAAAACTTTTGGCTAACCGTACGGGACTTCCATTATAAAAACCCTACTAAAACGTGTTCTTTATAGTACATGTAATTAAATTTTTGCAGTTCGATTCTGACTTTCAAATTTAAAGGTGTGAACATATGTTATAATTGATGTACACATTTCAAAAATATAAGCAACTCTTTTGAAAAGTAAATTGTTAACATGTCTGTCAACGTATGATGCTGCGTATCGTAATCGTAGCCTAATATTAACTGCAGACAAAACATTTTTATTGGCTGCTCAAAAATCTAATTTGCATAATTTATTCACACAATTGCTGGTCCTTACTAATTATGTCTAATACTGCGCATTGTCCATTTTAATTGTTCCTAATTTGCACCAAATGTTCCTGTCACACTGTGTACTGACGATTTTTATTGCTCCTTGTATGCCTCTGTCCCGACAGACCTTTTGATCATGCACAATGTTGCCCTGATTGGTTAATCACCCTTGTTAAATAGTCTAATGACGAAATAGACATCTATTTTTTTAACGCTTCATCAGTGAACTGAATGACCTTAGGGGGAATTAGGTTCCACACCTGTCAAATTATACTGTAAATTACAGCACGTCATAAAATAGCAACACATTTTTCAGTTACCAATAATCATTTTAAATATTAAGTATATTTATGTTTTTTTTGTTTTATTGGATTAAATTTACCGCAGTAGAAATGCGTATCTGTTGGGGAAAGGAATTTGGTAAGTAGATAACGTGGAAAAAAGCTTTAGGGAACTGGATAAATCCAAGAATATGCGTAATTATAGGGGAATGGGCAACCTGTTGCTGTTGGTACCAGTTTTGACTGGGTGCCTAACCTAGGCGGACAGTTTTGTTTTCATACGATATTAGTCTGGCTGCCGATTTTCCTGCGCCATTCTCATTTTTTAGCGTCAATGGCGGAAAATCGCGTCCTCAGCAGATCTCTGCATATTGGATTTAGTTAATATTTTACCTGAAAAAAAGATACATGACCGGCGATTTACCCTATTTGGACAGCTTGTCTAGCGAAAATTAAGTACAAAATAAAAGGATTTATCGTCAATTTGAAGAAGTTTCTCATAGAACCCAAATTAAATTTATGTTTTATCTTTGAAAATTAAGCAGTCATTGCTTAAATCATGTGGTGGGATCATCAGCAAGCTTGAATATCGGACAAATGATAATTAATGTCGCGGCGTCTTCAGCTAATTAATTAAAGCAATTCAGTTCCATATGATGTTTTCATAAATAATATATAATGTACGCAATAAAATTAATAAGTTCTTCATCAAGATATATTTCAGTTGTACCAGCGTGTTTCACCTATACCGGAAGTGGGTGTAACACGTCACAATCTCGGTCTCGTCTGTCTCGCGAGAATGACAGAAAGCCAAAATGGCGGCGCCCTTGAACTAATTTCTCAAGTAAAAAATAGTGTCTTAAAACACGAATTTCTCTCTTATAGGGTTGATGTCAATAGGAAGACTGTCATGGTTCCTCTTTTTAAATGATGAATATTTATATTAGACAGACATCAATCCATCCATTCCTATTTTTTTGTTAAAGTGAACACAGGAGGACAAATGCGGGCACTTGGTAAAATTCCTCGTTTAAAGACACAAATAATATATGCATTTTCGTTTCTCATATAATTTTGAAAAGTGCCGTACGGCTAGACAATACAGTGTGTCCTGGCTAGTCGTACGTGACTCACGTACGGCTAGAACTTTTGGCTAGCCGTACGGGCCCGTACGCACTAACAAAGTTCTATGCTCCTGCGTTTATGAATAAATTATGCAAATGAGCCAGGTTGAGCCGCCATGTTGGAGTTTCGGTAAGCGTGTTGGAAATTGCTACCTGTTCGTTTTGAAAGCTCGTCCTAACTTACAGTTTCCTTGAATGTAGGAAAACTTGGTTTTGTTTGATTGCATAATGAATGATATGTATTACAAAATAAATATAATAAGAATCGATCAATCAATAATTGCATACGAGCTTTATAAAGTCAATTGAATTCGTCAGAATAATAAGGTTCTGTTGCAGGGTATCGGTAAAAGACTGCTTTTTTTCACGTTTTTGAAATTTATTTGAACACGGAGACAATTTTTCTCAAACAGGTTTATGAATATACTTTACGTTGCAACAGAGTTTACCGTGTGTCCATTCCTTATTTAAATTGTCTAAGAAGTTAAATCTGTTTGTTTACATGTAAATGTGTACCGTCATTTTGACCGACTGGAATAAAAACTACTATGACGGTGATAATACCGGATATGTAATGAAAATTACGCCGTGTAGTGCAAAGTTTTGGACATTGCAATTAAAATTAACGCTTACGTTGATTCAAACTGTTCCTTGTCGGCAAAATTGAAACCGAAAGTAGTGGTTGTTCTAGAATTTAATCGAATAAAATGCCCTGTGCGAACGTATTGTTTACATCCGGTCGTAGCATAGGGTAAGGAGTGAGACTAAAAAAAGGATTGGAGCACCACACTAAATACCGTATTCCGGTTCATACCGGACAAGGCGCTTGAATGATAAAATGCTAAAATCTTGCCTTTTAACCCAACGGAATGAACTTAAACAGGTCTAATTCATCTTTTCACACCGAATTAAGTACGATAATGAAGGAAAAATGTAAAAATCGGCGAAAAAAACGATATTTGTCTATTTTGTGATCATGATTTCTGCAAGCGTCTAGAGGTACTGCTCCAATCCTGTTTTGAGCTAAATCCTAGGGTAAGAGTGCAAACTTTGTTAGTGGTACGGCTAGCCACTTCCCGTTGAATAAGTTACCTTCTAGTCAGGCTCATCCTGAGCACTCCAAGTATCATAAAACCTAATTATCATAAAGAATTACCTTTTCAGAAAATTATCATGTGGGTGTAAATAAATGTTGACCTCTCTTTTAACATTAAATAGGGAATTAAACAATTGTCAAAAAGTTACTTTGTTGTTGTTGTTCAAAAAATGTTCATCGTGAGAATAATAAGTCATGACAGCAAGAAGACCATTTCGCCCCCGAACATTTCGGTGCTATTGCAAAAATTGAACCTTTTCTAGCAAGACACTCCGGGCTTTTTCAAATTAATGATAGGAAATGCTTATATTGTTTGCACATATTAAGAATCGTGACAACAGATGTGATTTTACTGCAGCTCAAAACTGTAATTGGATCAAGAATAATTATCCTATAAAAAATAAAAATAGTAATGTCAGGAAGCCAATTTAAGTACCTACTAGAAAGTTCTAAAAGTCTTTCAGAAGATATATATGTGTACAACTAATGTGTTAGGCACTGTGATCAAATATTTCTGTGATAGTAATACTAGGCTTATTTTAAAAAGGGCATACTTTTATAAATATATTTCCTTTTTCAACCAAAATTTTGACCAAAGTTAGTTAGTTTAGTTTTTTATCTTGTTGTTTTTTGTTTTGTTTTTCTTTTTAGGGGGGGGGGGGGGGGTTGAAATTATGTTGTTGTTTTTTTTTTATTTCTATGGACCCCGTTGGAAATAAGCATTTAGCTTAATGGGCTATCCACAGGTGCATAGTACCTCTTATTTTATTTTTATGACAAAAGTACGTGTGCTCTTTTATGCTGTTTTATGATCTCATTTTATATATATGATTTATATATGTTATCTCTTAACTGTATGATTTTATATTTTGTATCATGTGCTATATGTTCCTAAAATGTATAAATAAATAAAAATAAATATGTTAAGACAAACCTTGGTTTGACATTATAGTTGTAGAAATACTAGGAATAGAGTAAAGAGTAAACAGATCGTAAGAACATTTTGAAAATAAACGGAGCAGAAGCAATCAAAAAATCAAATAATCCTGGAATCTCCTAAATAAGTACGCCTACACACGTGAATTAAAAGCAAGACTGTGATCAATAAAAATTTTATGATCACTTTAAGGAATTAAATAATGTAGACTTTCATAATGATGAACATTTTAACGAGCTTGATCAGATAAGCAACTACAATGAAGACTACAGTTAATGAAATTCAGTCAGTTTTATAGGAACAACAAATAATATCTTCAATGAATACCTGGTTCAATGTTACCAATTGTTTGCACATTAAAAAATATTATTTTTGATTCAAGTTTCTTCCCTGAAATTTGCAGTAAAGGGGTAATTCTTCCTGTATATAAAAATAAAGGTGATATAAATGATCCTGACAATTTCAGGGGAATTACAAGTTTGAGCTGTTTTAGAAAATTACATACATCTGTTGCGAATAGTCGGTTATATATTTTTTAGAATCTGATAACATCCTCTGTGAAGAGCAGGCTGGGTTTAGAAAGAAATACAGTACAGTTTACTTTGTTTGTAATTATTTGTTATATTGATTGATGTTTTCTCACATGCCCATGCAGTTGGGCCTTGGGATATCAATAAAACTTGAAACTTGAAATAAATACGAATTTTTACTCCGCCCACTTTCTTATATATATTTTTATCATATTAGTTTTTAATAAATATAAAGTATATTTGACTGATATAGCAACATATTTCATGAGTAAAATTAGATAAGAGTATATGATTTAGAACACACGACTAGACGTCTTTAAAAGTTTTACTTCATTTAATCTTTGACTTGCGTCATGAGTATAAAAGCTGCAAGTCATAATCTGAGAGTTCAGAGGTCACAGACTTTTACGTATTGAATATCACAATAGAAAGAAAGTCATTTTAAGATAAAATGGATCTCCTCAGCACATATAGAGCTTAAATGCAATTTTGAGCAGCGAGCAGCGATTTCCTGCTGTATATAGTGGCATCTTCTTTCAGATTACTCATGAAGAGAACAAATCAGATCGGAAATACAAATCGTGAAAAAGTTTCCCTAAACCATACGTAATTGAATCATGTAATTGAATATCACAATAGAAAGAAAGTCATTTTAAGATAAGATATACATTAAAGTCATAATTTTGTCATTAAATAATCCAAACCACGGCTTCCAAAACGATTGTCTTTACAATATGTTCTAAGTTGGCATGTCTTTACATATTCAGTAACGTTATCAACAGCGCACTGCTGTTTAATGATAACACTGACAACAGATCATCAGCAAACATGGATCCGATAACATAAAACAGTTAAACAAAACATTCTGTGAGGTTCTTGTGCAACAACAAGCGATGAAAAGTAAAAATGTATACCTTCGTTCACAATAAAATATAAAGTAATAAATGGGTCATTCTTTTGAACCGCATGTTAACGAAAACTTTCTTCTAAGTTGAATATGGGGGAATTTGAAGCTTCATTTCCTGCTGTATATAGTGGCATCTTCTTTCAGATTACTCATGAAGAGAACAAATCAGATCGGAAATACAAATCGTGAAAAAGTTTCCCTAAACCATACGTAATTGAATCATGTCATGCATGCATGTATACATGCCTTTTGTATACATTGAAACAATGAGCTCTATAACTCGATGTTACCTTGAGTAATACGTAATACCATTATATAGAAAATATGTGATAAGAGTACAAATGAATTCCTACTAACGATGCAGTAATGTGTAACTGTAAGTACAATATTGTATGTATCTTTCTATAGGATTTTACATTAAATGAAATAAGATGTTACACCTATATTCACAAATTGTGTTTTTTTACTGAGTACATATAATAGCAAGCTTTTATTTACTGGTCCCGGGCAATGCTCATATAGATGCAAGCTTTTTCTTTACTGTATATATTTTATGTAGTTTCAAGACAATGATAATGCAGGGGTTAATTTATCATCGCCATATACATACATAGTAAGTTTCCATGTAATAATATCACTACAAAAAAAAAGATATTCTTTTAAACACGGGGGCGGAACTACATATTGATCTCAAAAAATGAGCATCGGTAAAAGTATTATGTGAATTTCCGCTGCTCCAGATGTGAAGCATAGCGCCAGATGTTGACAGTAAAATTAGGTCAAACGCAGGGTAAGTTTTCAACTTTTTAAACAGTTATATAATATTCAAACCTTTTTTTATATAGAAAATCGAAATGCGCTTCTACCCTCCTGTCTCTCCTTAATATTACCCAATTTTGTATTGGCCGGATTTCTATGCAGACTTCATCGAGATATTCTTTCCGTCGTAGGTTCTGGTGTGTCCAAAACATGTAATTTGAATGAAGAAAATGTCCCTAAACGGACTCAAAATACAGAGATTTTACGAAATTTACCACAGACCGATGTTTAACATTCAAACAAATCCTGATTTAAACATTTATTGAGATTTGGCTACAAACGAAGGAATCGCTGCTCGCTGCTCAAAATTGCATTTAAGCTCTATATGTGCTGAGGAGATCCATACGTGCAAACGAAATTATTCAGATTGGGGAAAGGAAATGGGGTACTGGGTAAATGGCTTTCAGTTTAGATAAAGTTAAATATTTTATGGAAATTCAAAAAAAAAGTCTTGACGATAATAAGCTCTGATAGCCCTTACTCTGTTCAAGTACGAGACAAAAGTAAACAAACTTAAGCCATCATGTTCTGCAATAGACGCACAGTTAAACTGATTATAAACATAATTACATTTACAAAAAAAAAAAAACACTCAAACTATTTCACTTTTTGTTCTTTGAACAAATGCCCGAAGGTTTAAAGCTACATGCCTCCAGATACGCCAAAATAATTAAATTAAATCAAACTTAAAAATATTATTTAGACTTTAAGAATGTATAAATATTAAAGTTTAGTAATTACTGACATGATATATCTTGTTAATGACTGATTTTTTTCTCAATATTATGACTTTATTCATACTGCATTACTAACGCAGTAAAGGCTTTTTTGCACATATTTAGCTCATTGTAGTAATTTACTTTGTAAGTGCAATTAAATACGTGTGAATTGCTTCCTTTTGGTCACTAACCATTATTATACGTTTACACATATTTTAAGAATTTTCGTGAAAATTAGCATAAATCTGGAGGCATGCTGCTTTAATAAATAGATAAAATATGTTACATAACGTTTACAACATCATGTTATCGACTTATTTTATCTTATGTACCATCTTGAGTTTAATCTTTAAAACACAATCTTATTGCTATAAAAAGAACTAAAATAAGAGAATAGAAATACCAATCAGTGTCAGATTGATTTTGATTTTTGTTTTATCTTTATAGATTATGTAACGGAGGTTTCTGAAAGCTGGTGCACTTTGTTATCAAATTAAAAATCTGGAAACAAAGAGATCCGTTAAAACCGTTATTGTCTGTACAAGGATTATGTGTAGGAAGTATATAACCATGCGCGAAAACAAACGTTTGTCGTGAAAACCAAATTATTTGAAAAAGTGGATAGTAATCCTTAAGGTACTCATTTAATTACTGCAATATGCATGCTTTAATATATTTGAATTTGAATCATGTAAAATTGAAATATAGATTTTTGAAATTATCATTTTTAAACCTTCGTCATCTAAATGCCAAATTTGACAGAACTTTGTAACTTCAAATACAATAAGGATTTTTGACAATGAGGCTATGTTTTATATGCCCAGACTACGAAAACGAGGCTATATATGGGGTACGATATGCATCTGATATGGACATATAATTTTTACTCTGAAAATGAAAACTAGGTGTGATTTCTATTGGAACATCACGTGGTGTAAACGCTGAATGTTCATTCGTTATATTTCATAAATTTAAGGTGTGAAATGTTTTATGTTTATATTGCAGAGATATGCACTTGACTAAGAATGCTTTAATATGGTCTATATATAATTTGTTTCAAAGAAGAAAAAGGAAAATGAAGGTAAAGACCATATGTTTCATTATAGTTTAAACGTTGGCTTGGGCACATAATTACGTTCATGTATATTTTTTTAATAATTTTCAGGAATGTATCAAATGTATTATTATTAAATTGAAAATAAATGACCAGGTGACATCACCTTTTCCTTATAACAATACTTAAAACGTATCAGACCTGATATATCGGTATCGCGTAAAGTATGCTAAAAATAACTTCGAAATTATAATTATTATTCCATTTTTCAGCGCAATATCATATCTTTGTCTATAACGACTATCATTATCACCGCTCTTGCTGTTCCTCTAACGAACGTGTATCTAAAACGAAAGAGAAATAACAATTCAGCCGATAGTGTCATCTTCGTAAACACTGTCAAAAATAAATTAGCCGAGAAAAAATTAAAAAGTGACGTGACTCAAAGTGATGGAAAGGGAGATGTTATTGAACCAAAAGTTGAAGATGAACATCCTAAACGGCCACATATAATATTAATTGTTGCCGATGACCTTGGGTACAATGATGTCGGATATCATGGTTCAGATATTCGCACGCCGAATATTGATAGGTTAGCTTTGGCCGGAGTGAGGCTAGAGAATTACTATGTTCAGCCTGTATGTACGCCAACGAGAAGTCAGCTCCTCACCGGCAGATACCAGGTTAGAACAAGGAAGATCCCCGAAAGGGGAATTCACTTATGGGCTAGTTATCTGTTTTTAGTTTTGGTTAGTGTTAAAATGTCCCGATGTACTCCTCGGTGATATTGTACCCCTCCGAGCCTTTAGGCACTTCGATGCCAATACTTTTTATTGTGAATGATTGATTACCACTTAAGGCGGTGATGGGGTGATTGAGAGATGCTGCATTTTCCATGTCATGAGAAGTCTCAATAACACCAATCCTTTGATATTACTGGTTTCGAAGAATTTTCTCTTAGATCTTTATTTTGAATATTTGCAGAGTTGTCTTACAATTTATATTCACAATCATTAAATGGAACTACCAGCTATAATTTCGTAAATCACCTTAGTATCAGTGGCTGTATGATTGTTTCAGCCTATTAGTCATGGCATACATATCGATTTTATGTATCCCACATTTAGTTTTCAAGGTGTAAAACGTTCAGAAATGAAAACATGTTGTTGAATATTCTAGTATCTAGTGTGAAAAATGTTTTATTTAATTAAGTAACATGCTGTCTAGGCTTATTCCAAACAAATATTTAGACTAAAGGTGCTAAACGGACTGCATCTAATACAAAGGCAGTTGTATCGACGTTGTACTGACGTTAGACCCCGAAGTTGCATACATGAACACCTGAAAACGTTTAAGACATTGTAAACCCGACGTCTTCACAACCTTTATAAAATCAAATTCAAACGTTTATGTAACCTTTTGCTGACCATTCAATATAAATATCTTATACATTTTTTCTAGGCCTAATCAAGAAAACAGTAAATAGATTTTTAAGATTTGGTAAGCTTTCAAATAAAATTATGTCTTTAGACAGTAAGACATTTTTATGATTTGTCAGTAACTCTATCGTCGTCAAAATAATCACACCTGTCCTACAACAGACCCGTAGTTTGGGCAATTATATGATTTCTCAACAAAACTGCCTTGGACCGCTCATTATAGTTATATAAAATAGCTCTATCCAGCATAACAGCAGCTGATTGCAACCTAATCGGTATTTCATGGTCATTTGTAGACAATATCATACAGACATATGACATTGTTTCAAAACCTGACTCAAAAACTTCAAGACATTGTTTCAAAACCTGACACAAAAACTTCAAGACATTGTTTCATAACCTGACACAAAAACTTCAAAGTGTTACAGTTTGTCGTCAAACTATACATTTTGTATTCAGTAATAATATAGTATAGTTTTGTTCGTTTATAAGAAGAAACAATGATATTACTTCGATTGCGACTGATGCTTTGACATTTTCTCAGGAGAAGTCCATGCAGGAAACTGTCATTGTATTCAATTGGATTATGCTTGTTATTTTGAAATAAAAGAAAACGCATCCCTGCAGAAGTACATGTACAATTATTGCACACATTTCTGCATTGCAGATTCACACGGGATTGCAACATGGTATTATTTGGCCAAACGAGCCATTTGGTCTGCCTCTAGATAGCCCAACTTTAGCGGACAAGCTTAAAGAATCTGGATATGCTACGCATATTGTCGGCAAGTGGCATCTCGGATTCTTTAAAAAAGAATATATGCCTACATACCGAGGATTCGACAGTTTTTTCGGTACGTTTCTCAAGAGGGACGAGTATCTCAGTAAATATAAGTTACTTTGATTTTTAAACGTTTCTTCTGTGACTATTTCATATTCGATATCATAAAAAATATCAAAGCATTTGAACTAAAATTTCAAAATGATATACATGTTGAATAATTCGTTGATAAAAATAGGATCTACTTGTAACACATTTCCCCCCGATTTTATTGTAAATGACAGGTTTTCTTACCGGTCACATGGATTACTTCACACATATTGCATTACATCAAAAATATCATGGATACGATTTAAGGGAAGATCTGGAACCTGCTGATGTAAATAAGTATAATGGAAGATATTCTACCCATATGTTTACTGAGAGGGTCGTTGACATCTTGCAAAAACACAACAAAACTCAGGTATTTGCCATTTAGTGCTGTTAGTTTGAATATTGGTTTATACAGACTTTTTCTAGTTCGATTGTGTAGGAAGCTACAAGCTTAAAGACACACTTTCGAATCCGATCCAGGAACCAACCAGTACTGAGTAATGAGTGTAATGTAAAAACGACCTGCCCCAGACGGGGTTTGAACCCATGCGGCTAGCGATCATAAGATTACTAGTCCGGCGGAACAACCACTCGACCATGCCGTCTCTTTATTTTGAATATTGAATTTGCTTAAAATGGTTGATATCTATGTTAACTGCTATATAATGGTAATATGGACAACACTCAATTCTCAGTTATTCCTTCTTGTGACTTATATACTTTGGTAGTGTTTTAGATTGGTGAAATTAAATGGTGTAATTTTCATTTTAACTGTGCCTTGGTTTGCGTACCTCGGTATACCTAATATTCATTATTATTCATGATAGTTTCTTCCTCAACTTCAGCCATTATTTCTGTATGTTCCATTCCAAGCTCCGCATTCTCCAATGCAAGTTCCTGATAACTATATCAGACAAAAATACATGGGAAAAACGAAAAGAAGAATTTATGCAGGTGTATGATTTCATGTAACCTTTCATTAACTTTGAAACATTTCTTTTCTTAAGTGAATTGTTTGAAATATGAAAAACTTTTATTTGTTAAAATTGTCTTCAATAAATAATTTATACTTGAAAATTATAGAATTTCAAAAAAGAACAGATTGGGTGATCAAAAAGACAGACTATGTAGATTTTTTTTCAAATATTCAAATATTTGAGGAATAAAATTATGTTTGAGGTCACATAGTAAAGCCCTATATTAGAAGTTAAAATATCAGAAACTATAGAATATATAACTTTTTTCACCGTAATTAATAGAGAAATAATAATGTTATATTAATTAATGTAATTGTTACTTGTAAATATAGTTTATGATGACTCAGAAGTATTACTTAGAATAACCAGGTAATCCTCTACTTTGTAAATTTCAACAAAATTTATTGTAAACTCGAAACTAAAAGAAAGTCCAATGATTGAAATAAATTGAATAACTTTTGAAATGAGATTTCAGGGATGGTTGCATGTTTGGACGAGGCAGTTGGTAATATTACCAAAGCATTGATTGTAGAAGGATTATTGGATAATTCGTTAATCGTATTCACAACTGGTAAGTATTGGTCATAAATTTGCTTAAACCTTTGACTTATGTGTCGAAAAAAAATATCGCTAATTAAAATTTATATTGTACGAAGTATATGGTCTTTACAGATAACGGAGCCGAACGTGGTGGATTTGGTAGCAATGCACCACTTCGAGGTTACAAAAGTCAATATTTCGAAGGAGGTATTCGAGCTGTTGGCTTTATGTATAGTAAATGGCTACACGAGAAAATGATGGGAGCTATATCCACTGAACTGATTCACGTGACTGACTTGTTTCCAACTTTGGTAAACCTTGCAAAAGGAGACATAGATATAACACTAGATGGATATGACCAATGGGATACTATAATGTGAGCAAGAATATTTTCCCTTTTAACAGTTGCTTATTTTAAAGACTCAATACGGCCAAAAGAAAATGCTGTTATTTTAATTTCTTAAAAGTAATGGACGTTCGCAGTAAGGACCTTCCATTTCATTACCCCTCACTTATTTTGTAAATGCTAAGTTCTCATAGGCCACTGGGAGTTTTTCTTACTGTAAAAGCAAGTGTAACTAAGAAATTTGCTCTGTTACAGAGTAACAGTCCTTTTTAACAGCATTAAAACCTGGTCACGTGTTTGTGTTCAACTTGCAAAGTAAGGATAGTTGAGTTATTGTTACTGTTGGCAACGCCTCGGGTAACAGTATTTTCCTTGGGATGATATTTTTACTGTTACACACAAACCCATGTTTTTATTTATATAATCTTTGTTCACGGAAACCAACTTATACTGGTACGCGATATTGTGTGTTACAGATATTTATAAGGTTTATCTTGTGTTTTAAATTCGTATAAATATTTTTTTATCAAGTTTACTTTCTGTTGAAAAATGTCATGATTAATACTTTTTATATATACATGCACATTTTGCGTATAACTGTATAAAACGGGATCAGTCACCTCGCACTTCTGTCAAGGGAATGTCCGTGATTCATTTTTTTTTTTTTTTTTTTTTTTTTTTTTTTTTTTTTTTTTTTTTTTTTTTTTTTTTTTTTTTTTTTTTTTATTAAATCTATATATATAAACAAGGGATACAAGTCATGGCCTCGCACTACCAGCACGGGTTCGTAAAATGAATTCACACGTGTAAACTGTATAAAATATCGTCCATTCCATCAAAGTTATTGTATAAGTTAATATATGATTGAATCATTACCCAAGTTCTACTGCAAACACTTCATTAAAACCTGTAACATTGCAGGAAATAGCTAACATTTCAATATTTAAATTGGCTGTCAAGTTGTCGTCCATTTTGCAGGTGTGTTTATGTTTCGAGTATTTTCATTGGCTGATGAAAAAACCGCTATTCGTCGCGGCTATATGCCGTTATTATCCGGATTATTATTATTCATTAGCCAATGAAAATGACAGTTACTAACAGAAGTTGGATTTACGCATTGGAACATACGGGCAACATCAAAATGGAAGCCGAGGATAGAAATTATCAAAACAAACATAAATTGTTACAATAATTTGTACCAGAAGTTAATGATTGCATCATTGATGGTGGTGGATGATTGATATTTAACCGATTACATGATTAAACTTTCTTATATGAGCATACGTTTGCATAAGATGTCGTTTTACACGTGTAATTTTACGAACCGAAATTTTACGAACGTGTGTAAAAATGAAGCATGAAAGGTTATTTTTAATAATATCTTGTCAATGTAACAAAGTGAGTCATTTTTTTTGAAATTATCGATTCTTTCATCAATGTCCAACAATCAGAAGAAAAAAATTGTTGTATACTGCGTTGTATTTACTTTTTCATAAATTGAGCAATTTTGAGTTGTCTCCCTTGTTACATTATATATATAGTGGGAAAGGAAAAAAATGACAGAATCCCCTGTGCTTCTCATTGTCTTCAAATGTCACCGCCTAACAAGATATAAATACATGTATATGTTATACTAGTATATCTTATAAGCATGTAAACTAACTATATTGATAATTAAAGTGATAACATAATGTTTAACATATGGCAAAAATATGCTACCATAGTCTCTCCAGATTTCCTTATTTGACTTTATTTGAGTGGTTTCGATGTATTTTCATGATTGTACATTTTGTCTACCATTGTTCCCTTTTCAGTAAAAGGACGCCCAATAAAAGAAGCGAAATTTTGATTAACATCGATCCACTGTCTATAACTGGTAAACGTTTATTTAACAACAGCTTTGATACAAGAATAAAAGCAGCAATTCGTATGAATGACTGGAAACTAATCACCGGATATCCAGGTACATAATTGAGCCGCGTCATGACAAAACCAACATAATGCGTCTGCGACCAGCATGGATCCAGACCAGCCTGCGCATCCGCGCTGCCTGGTCAGGATCCATGCTGTTCGATATTGGTTTCTCTATTTTTTATAGAGTTTTTATGCGAACAGCATGGACCCTGATCAGACTGCATGGATGCGCAGGCTGGTCTGGATCCGTGCTGGTCGCAAAGCCATTATGTTGGTTTTGTCATGTCACGGCTCATATGCATATTCTTTTGTACGATTGTGTATGTGTACATATCTATTAAAAAACATCAAGGAATGTCTTGAAGCATACTTGATTTTACGTCGTCCCATGTCTCAGTTTATGCCATTGAAGAGAGCATTTTAAGCTTCTAAATTGGTGCAAATATAATTATATAAAATAAATAATGTTTGTACATGCATGCTGTTCTTAAGTCTAGAAAATAGAAAAAAAAAATCGCAATTTCAATTACCCCAATTTAAATATCTCATATAACATCTTGAATAGCGCAGGGACCTCGCTCCAGACACTGGTCAGAGACGTTTCGTAAAGGAGCAGAAAATGTATGGTTGTTCAATGTACAGCAGGATCCCTACGAAACACTCGATGTATCAGATAAATATCCAAATGTTGTACAAACCATGCTCGACAGATTACAACATTATCATAAAACCTCAGTTCCGACGATAAACCAGCCTTCGGATGTAAATGCTGACCCAAATTTGCATGGTAAATTTTGGGGACCATGGTTGTAGGATACCTCCTAAATAGATTGCCAGAGGTGTTCCGTGATCAATATAGTATCTGCCTTGGTGAAAACAACAACCGATAATGTTCAGAACAACGGCGTAGTTCAAATTTATAAGGATTTGCTCGAATATTTCTTTTATTTCTAACTGCAAACGTTTACTTATTTTATATCTACAAACTAAAATATACCTTTTTGTCTTTGTTCTGTCATGTATACTAGCGTTTTTGATTTTTGACAACAAAGATGGGAACATTGTTTTTTTGTTGTTTTTTGTGCTGACTGGCGATCAAATAGTTACTTAATCTTTTATGTATTTTTATAATGTACGTTTATATGTATTTAATAGATAGTATGCGTGAAATCATCATGTCACATATGCAGTGGACTAGTTTGATTAAGTTATTTGCTTAACATATAGAAGATGCACATCGATCACTTTCATATCTACGTTTGTTACTACATACTGAAAATGGACATTCAGCAATTTTTATTGTTTATAGATCCTGTATGTTTTGTGATTGATATTGCTACTGTGTGTTGTGTATACCACACTTGCAAAGAATTATATATGTATATAATTATGCAGATAAAACAATTTTCAAACATCGAAGAATATGTAAAATGTATACCGCAAATATTTGTGCACATTATATTAATAAATGACTCATATGCATTCATTTCTTATTGGAAAAACTGACTTAGAATTTATAGAAAATAAATTTCTAATTATCTCCCTTTATTGACATGAAATGTTAAATTCGGTAAAATCTTTATAAATAATGCATATTGGAACTTACAATATTGACAAATCTTAATTTGAGCATTATATTTATGAAATAAAACCATGAAAAAATTGTGTTACAGGATCTTTAAAGGGTAATAAAATTGAGAATGCAACAATCATTGTTATGTTGACTTCGGTAAGTCATCATTCGCGCTACCTCTTCATGAATTGCTGTAGGAAGACCAGTGTCATTAGATATAAGAAAGCATTCTTGATTACTTCCTTTCAGACCGTATAATATTGAAAAACAATTGAACAAATAATATTGTTCCAATTTCAGTATGTGATTAATTGAAACAATGATATTTGTAAACGGTCAAACCTTAACCTGTAAAACTTTCACAGAAACAAGTGTATAGTTTGTCTGATATAACATTTACAAGGCATGTGTTGTGTTAGACGAGTTTAAGTAAGAAGGTGGTTCCAGTATACACCAAGTGTTTACTGGTTACATTTTCGAAACCACTCTGATTAAACACTTATTTGAAATTGTGACAAAAAACCTAGTTTGTTGCAGCAAAATATTCCTTCTCATGTTTTGATTTTGCTTGACAACTTGATCCCAGGTAGAAAAGAAATTTTCTAAGCTCAAGCTCAGATCTCCAGCATTTGATTGGTCAGTAACTAGCTTTGAATGGACACTGACCAACGAAAATCCTGAGATTTGAGACTAAACTTAAAAAAAAGTTTTATAAACCTCATGCATTCTTGCTGAATGTTCCTGTTGCAAAAACAATACTCCATGCCGACAGAATATGCCTGCTTAAACGATGCTATCCGCATCAACTCATGTCGCCATGAAATTATGTGTAGGAATTTGTTAACAAAGCGTGTATTCATTTTACATGTATTTCCATGTAAATTGTGTATGAACGTCTAGGCAATCAATTTGTGTAACAAATTTGACATGCTTAGCTACATTGGTTGCCTTTTTATATCAATACATTGCAATTTAGAAAAGTAAATGCATATTTCTTTTCCTTTCAATTTAAGAAATGGTTTTATTTTCAGCATTTGTAAATCTAATACCTCCAAGCGGTCTGTTAATATTAAACCAACATATATCTCCAAAGAGGTTACAAATGTTAATATATTTTCCGCCGGTTAAGTGAAGCGAATTAGGCGTTAAATAATTTCCTTTGGATTGGATAGATCTTTTGAATGTACCAATCAGAAGTTGTTTTGTTTAATTACGTATGCACGAGTTACTGTGCATTATGAATTGTAATTGAAAGTCATTCAGCTTTGGGTATCGATACTTTACAGTCGCAGTAATTTTTAACATGGATTTAATTTGTTGATTAACAAAAGTTCGGGGAAAATATGTTTACTAGTAACAATACGAATGCTTACATGTTTATGGTTTATATATATATTGGTATTAGTTGTTTGAATTGATACTGTATCATTTATGAAAGTGATGGATGTATATTTATTAATAAATTTACTAGTATACTGGTATATGTTTATATATATGTTTGTTGAATTGTAATGGATTGTAAAATCTTTACCCAAGTGCTCGATACAATATATACTATATATTCAGAATTTTGGTTTTGTTGTTGTTCTATTTAGTTGATACAAAGAGATCATTAAAGGTCAAAGGAATATGACTTTTGAGTGCGGTAAAGGAACTCATATGAAACTAGGTTTACATTTTTAGTTTTTTTACTGATACAATGTAATTGTCAGTTTTTGTGTACCTAACATTTTAATAAACAAGCACACAAGTAATTATCTTCGAATGTATTAGCACAGATACCTTCATAAAATAACGTGAAGTAATTAAATATATTTACACGACAATGTCAAAACTGAATGGAATTCTAATACAATCTAATATATCTCATCATGAGTCATTGCCAACTGCTTGAAAAATTAAGTAGTGAAATTGTCCCTCATGACAGTCTGTTCCGTTTTGGCTAAAATCGTTTTCCTTAAATGTTACAGTTATATTTCCCTCAGAAACATTTTTTCGACCACCAATCCCATAATATGTGTAAGGACCTTTGAATTCACATTTCAGGGTATATAACACTCCAGGAATAAGTTCAACACCATCATCAAATAACACTTCTTCGCTCACTTCAGATGCGTTGTAGTTAATTTCTACTCTTCTTTCAAATAAAACGCCAAACTTTGCACTTTCCAACTGAACAATTCCTACCACTTTCCCAACATTTATTGGTGAAAACAGACTGACGCCATCACATTTTACTTTCTCTGAAACAATAAAGTTTATTGAATCTACCAGTCCATTATACATCCAGTGTTTACTAGGGGCATCTACAAATCGTCTTATAATTATACGATCTTTCTTAACATTTGGTTTCCTTATTCGTGCCTTCACTAAAAATTTACAATCCGCCGGAGTAGATTTGTTAGCAATACATTGAAAAATGCTGACCTTTTCATCAGCAGTTAATATATCGTCTTTTGACGCGCAGGCGGCAAATGTTTCAAAGGACATTGACGGAAACCGTATAAGATGTATTAAATCTCCTAATTTGTTCCTTAAATCCGTTGATGTAGGTTCAGCATTGCTAATATCACTCTTACAGTTTTCAGCAGCCCATTTTTTACACGCTTCATACACTGTCCCTTCGTCTGATTGAAGTGTGTCTGATATAATTATTTTTCGAATCAGTGATTTTGATAGAGCCGCGAATGCGTTATTAGTAAGTACGTCATTTCCGGTTTCTGTTATAAACGATAAGCATTTTTGTTCCAGCCCTTTTTCTTCCAAATCATGCACACTCTTTAAAATTGTACAAACATTTCCCGCACATAGAATATCAATAAGAAATGTTCTACACTTCTCTTCTAGTCGACTTATATTGTATTTCTTAGCTCCAGTAAGTATTGGCATTACCGTGTCTGAGTTAATGTCACAGTTCTCCGAATAGATAAACCTGCAACAGTGAGAAGAATTATCATGATCAAGGTGGACCAGCACTACATAGGTATGAAGGCGTCCGTGGCCGAGTGGTTAAGGTCGTTGACTTCAAACCTCTTGCCCCTCACCGCTGTGGGTTCGAATCCCGGCAGGGACTTTGGATTCTTTCATGTGAGGAAGCTATTCAGCTAGCTTACGGAACGTCGGTGGTTCTACTTAGGTACCCGTTCGTGCCTGAAATAATGCACGGAAGGGCACCCGAGGTCTTCCTCCACCAGTAAAGCTGGAACGTCGCGATATGACCTATACTGTGTCGATGTGACGTAAAAACCCAAAACAAAACAAAACATAGGTATGAATCATATAAAAAAGACCCCTTAAAAGTTAAATACAAGCACACGCAATATGACAATGATTATTTATAAAGTTCAACTACTAGTTGTACAATTATTTGTTGTATCACATAACCACATTTTATTTAATTGAGGCCATTAAGTTTTTATCTTTTTGAATAATGTGTGTACTAGAAATTCGTTGTACTGGAATCTACTGGTCAGTGTTTGTTTTGTTGGATATTAAGTCACAAGTCGTACGCTGACGTTCCAGCTTTACTAGTAGAGGAAGACCTCATGTGTACCTTCAAACATGAACGGGAACCTGGGTAGAACCACTGAGCTTCCGCAAGCTAGTTGGATAGTTTTCTCAATTGAAAGAGTCCAAGGTCTCCGGTGGAATATGAACCAACAGTGCGAGGGGTTAGTTACTGCCAAAACCTTTTATGCACTATATTTGGTCATTATTTCGTTACCATTTTTTCTTTCTGCGTATTTTGCATCAATTTGCATGACTTTATCTTAAATATCTATGACATTATCAAGGCTTTTTTATCTTTTTTATTTTGTTTTTCGCCCTAAATATAATGACATAAGTGAACACTTGCTTCAACGTTATATTTACCAAAAACATTCTATCACAAATAGTACATTTTATCAGGAAGCAATTTCATCATTCTCCGATTATTTCAAAATGCCAAACATCCTTAAGGTAGATGTTTTTCCGGCGATACAAATACTTGTAACAAATTATTTCGGCCAAAGCAAGCTATGTCAATATGTAGGTTAACTTAAAACTTTCAAGCACTGTTTTTGTATGCCAAGTCCAAACATGTTATTATAGAACCTGGTTGAGACTGTATTATGTTTCTGTATATGTCAGCATTTACAAATAGTTATGTACGTAGAGAAAGATTAAGTTGGCTCGGTAATATTATCCGATTGTCTTGATAGCTAGAAGGCTTGAGAGTTAGAAGGCGGTAGTAAGCTATACTTAATATAAATTGTGTTAAAAAAGACCATTAGACTGAATGTACTAGAGTCAGAAACAAAACACCATCGTTCAGAATCGAAACATCAGCAGGCAGGCAGTAAGAAAACATCGGCAGAAAGTAACAAAACATAAGCAGTCATTGCATTATCAGTTGTTGGCATAGAAACACCAGCATGAAGTTCAAAACCATTTTCAGCACTGTGTACAGTAACGGTATATACAAAATAGCGGTACTTTTCCAGATTTATCAAAAGGATGATAGAGTAAAGTTACAATTTATCTGACATTAACTTAACAAATAACAGAATCCGGCCTTAAAATCAAATGCTTATATCTGAAATGACTGTTGACGCCAAAAGTGATTGCTTGCACTATCACTATTAAGCCAAATTGTAATCTGGACTGAATGCAATGATGACATTAACCTAGCATACATATTTATACAAGGAGTAATTGTGCATGATGATGTGTGTTTATAGTACATCTTTATAGCGACATCAATAACAGATGTTTCCAGTGGAACACTGCTCGATGATCGACAGCTGCAAGAAACGTATAACACATCACTGAGGAAGCAAGCTGCATTTGTAACACCTGGGAAAACCTTTTTATGTTGCAAAAGAAAACCTACACCAAAAAATTGGAAGAAAGGATTAGAAAACGCCTGAAACTTTCAGGTAACAAGTTCAATTCTGGAGATGGCAAATCAGTGGCTGCAAGGACATAAGCCAGTAGACTGCAGTAAATGCAGTTTCTTCAGGTGTGATTCAGCTAGTTATGAATGACAGAAGACGATTGCATGTACAATGTACTAAAATTAATGAAGTAAAGACGAAACCTTCCGTGAATAAAACAACATTGCAAAGGAAAAACGAAAATATGTGGCTCGTGGATGATGGAGTTTGCAAAACATTCTTAATTGTTTATATTGATCATGCTTTGAAATTCAAGATAGGTGGTTACTTTGAAAGATTTTCTGAGAACACTTGCAGCTTTGAAGAAGTTGGATTACACAATACTTTAAAACAGTCCACTCTCGACACATATCTCCAAAGATTGCCTAACCTGACATACAAGAGAACTTAAGTGATGGCTCAGAGTGTGACTAAATAATGTTGACACAGAGTAACTACTTTGGAATGCTTAATACTACAAACAAAACAAAAATATGCTAAAATTTAGAATGCCTGATTATTACCATTTTTTTTTGTATTTTTGTTGTTTGTTTTTGTTGTTATTATTACACCGAGTTTAAAGAAAATAGACAGTGCTTGTGTCAGAAACAGGTTCATGTATGACGTTTTGGTATCTTCGTGATAGTTACCGGATGTTCAATTTACACTAATTGATTCAGCCATACTTCTCATGTTTTTAAATGCTATGTGTTCATCTGTTTCTGCCTAACTGCTCTATTGATATAAAGAACGTTTTGGCAATTTATGACTTTTTTCTTTATGTAGTGGCATTCAATCTTGCTAGAGCATGTTCTGGTATTACTTTTCTTTTACCGAGATGAGTTTTTGCTCTCTACTAAAACCGTAGAATTTGATTACGTTGCAACTTAATAAAATGTTATTTTGCTCTATCACATGTACCATTACTCAAAAACTCAACAACACCTGTATCAGAAACTATTTTATGATGTTGTTTTAAAACAGAAATATATGTTCCTTCTGAAATACGGACATAGCTCAGATTTTGGCATAAACCCCTCAAATATATACGTTTATATTACAGTGATGGGGGGCATTTAAGTAAATCGGAGTCGGCGACCTAAACCACTCGGTCACGGAGGACCTTTTACTGATAAGAAAATTTAAAGCGAAACGTAATTTGTGCATGGGAAAAATAACCATAGCGTAAGCATTGATAATCTCTATTAAACTTTATTATTTCCAGTAAAACGGAAATGTATTGCATAGAAAGTTGACATTATAACGATGATAATTATTAACTGTGTAGTCAAATTTGTTTACTAACCGTACAATTTCCTTTAGTACCTCAAAATCTACGTCGGCGACTTCGATGGTATCAGTTAGTTTATCGGAGGAATTACAAAACATGGCATAAAATACTGTGCTTCTGCTAGCCAGAATAAATTTATGAGCTCTGATTACTTGTCTGTTGCTTCCCGCCAATAATGTGACGTCACACAGAACTTCATTTTGCAACATATGCAGGTTTGTCTCTTCAAAAGACCTATTATTCTGCCAGAGCGTGACCATATTCACAGCTGAAATATATGAATTTATAAACATGTTTTAATAAATTTATGTATGTCTAGTAAGAATGTCAAAACTGATGACTTAATTAGCAACACAAATAAGAAGGAACATTATGTATTTGTTAGTTTAACACTGATCAATTTATTTATATTTCCTTTATAATCGATAATGGCCTAAAGTTTTGAGAGGGAGTCCAAAATTACCTTCCGAAATTACGATCAATTGTTTCTAATGACCACAAGTGCTTGAAAATGCCTTTTACCTCACCCCTGTCCCCTCCCCTGTTTATTGCTGTTATGCATGAAATTATATAATTTATATGTAAAATGGAAGTAAAGAGTCAAATACTGACTACCGGGCTGAGCTCCGTCGCCGATCAAATAGCAGTTCCGAAATGAAATAAACAGCCCCCACCCCACCATTGTTGCCGATATCTTCTCTTTCCACCTCCTAAATGTCCAGATTTCCACGTTAAACCCACCACCTACCCCGCCATCATTTTTGTAAATATTATATAGCTATGTACAACTTTTTCAAATCACAGAAACATTCTGTCAAATACATGTAGTTATTACTCAAAATTCACACAAAATCACAATTTTACTTGTAACCCTGGATCCGCCCCGATGTACATGATAGTGTTTTACGTGTGTGTTTTGTTGTTTTGTTATGTTTTATTCATTTATTTTTATATTGCTTTTAAGTATTTTTCATTCCAGTGGGAGACTGACGTTTTTACCTATATACATGACTTTTCCCCCTGTATGACTTTTTCCAATATTTAATTAATACCTATATTATTTAATAATAAATGAATACTTTATTTTTTCTTTAAAAATAAATTGCAATCTCAACTTGAAAGGTACGTGAATAAATATGAAACTATATATAAAACATTGGCTGGTGCTTTTAAAGTTGTTAAAATATAACCTGTGGCCCGACCCATTTGCACTATATCTCTATGTGAATATTTATTTTTGTATTATTCATGTAACGCACATGTATAAATATTAAACAAAACTGAACATGATTGTGAATTAAGACAGATGTGTCGTTCCATAGAAAAAGAGGAACGCTGACGTCTATTTTTCTAATTGGCTTAGTTTGTGTTTATTATCAATATCATAATCAGTTGTAAAGTATAGTTAAACTGTTTTAACATAAGTTAGCTTGCCATTTAAAGAATAAATACATTTATACATGTGATATAGAAATGTGTGAAGAAAAAAGAAAAGACTCTCACTTGATTTTGTCCGCCACTGTGTTCCCGAATCAATTACTTCCCCTTAATGACTCGCACCTTACTTTGATTAGTCAGTCATAGGTCACGGTTCATTAAACGGGTAGGCTTTCCATTTCAAATAGTGTAAACCATTAGCAGAGGCGTTAAAATATTTATATTAAGAGGTGTCTGCCATTACCCGTAAATATCAGATAATAGAATTATGTAGTTGAAAAATACTAACATTTCATTGCTGTAAAAGTATTCACATAATTATAATAATATCTCTCTGTGTATATACTACGGTTGTCAAACGGGTACCTTTATAAATAGTTAAAAAGTTAATATTTAATATCTCAGGGGCGTATCAACATAGAAAATACATATTGAGTGTAATGTGTAAAACAAATGTTAGAATTTTATAACAAGACGATCTACAAAATATATACACTGTTGAATATTTTCCGCTATTTATATTGAACAAAAATGAATCTAATTTTATCTACCTCCCATGCTGGGACCTAGAATTTTCGCACCCCTAGTAAGAAGGTAGAAGTAAGTAGGATGTTAAAACTTTAAAATAGATATAAGCAGGTATTGGGTCTCTAGCTGTTTTTCAGACTAGAATAAATACTGTCGGCATGCATCTTCAAATGTTAATATTAGAGTTGAGTTGAATTATCTAGAGGTTCCACATCATTCTTAGAGTCTGTGCCGGCAAACTGTAGCTCCACTTCAAAATTGTGGTGTACGGAAAAACGAGCGAACACCATATCCGAGATAGAGCCAAAGGCCGAATGAAACATATAGGGTCCGGGTAGACATATTTCTATTACACATTTTCAAGAAACCTGAATGGTAGAGCATTTTAATGGTTTGGAAGTTCAATTTTCAACAAATCTTCGTTCACTTCGTCAGAGGAAAACTTCTCCCGGGTTTAATTTGATATACTTTTCGAAACAGCTAAGATCATTGGAAACCTGAAACAATCCTATATGGAACTACATTGATCGATTGAAAAATTACAACTTAAATGAATTTACAAGACAAATACATAAGCAATAGTTAGTTACAATTAGCCATTTAAATCAACCATCCGCTTTATCCGGTCGTTTTTCCGTACACCACAATTTTAAGTGGAGGCGTGTGACTGCAAAAATTATTATTACATTAAAAAAAAATTGTATGTTATAATGTCATCAATGCGAGTTTTGTATGTTTGAAAACTAAATTCCTAATTAACCTGTTTATTTTTTTAATGAAGTGACATGGTACGGAATCTCGTTCGAACCACAATACGTGTTCGCCGAAAATAAGCGGTAATTATCGTGATTTTCAATACTGCTAAAAAAGCATATAATAGAAAAAGAAAGGTAAGCTGTTGATAGTTTCCACTGATGATAAATCAGTAAAATCTGTTAATCAGGAAATATAGTACAACCTTTTAAGAACAACATTGTTTTGGAAGACACAGATTGTGGCTGCTGTTGAGGAGTGCCGCTCTACAGAGGTAAAATTTATTGTGAAGCATAACATTGGGTAACATCATAACTTTGTTGTAGAAAGGTGATTGCTCTATAGCTGGTCGCTCTTCTGAAGTTGTATTGTATAACCCCCATAGATTGGTGGAGATTCGGCATACTTTGGCACGTTCCGTATATAAAAAACGCATTCGGAACACCGCTGATTTCCAGTCATCATTATTAGAATTATCTGCAGTTTCACGAAAAGGCCGTAAAGCAACGAGTGCATGGAACGACCACATAATGTTAACCATATTGAAGGAACTTTCAATGAAAATTGACTCTTTTTTTCACTTTAAACGGTCTTTATTTTGGGTATGTGATAAATGGAATATTAAATTCGTGTAAGTTCATTACTGAAATTATTGAATTCGTTGAATAAAATAATATTATCGCCAGAGGCTCGCATAATATAATTTTATTAAACTCGTGCAATAAATTCAGTATTGAACTTACACTCATTCAATATCCTCCATATAGAGTTGTAGAGTTATTTATAGATAACAGAATGCATTGTTGCAAATAACGATGAATTTGATTGTGCGTTTACCATTCAGCATAAATATGTATATTTATTTGAAAATTCCAATCGACAAATTGTAACAATAAAGTCGTCAAGCGCTTGTAACATATGCCCTCCCTTCGCTTCCGTATATAAACGAAACAACGTGTTGCATATTATTAGATAACATTCTTTAATGTTATCTATAATTATAATCAGGATTTATAAACGGAAGAATAGAAAGTAAGTATTAATTATGTAGTTGTATGTAACAAATGCAAGAAATAACTCTTAAGGACAATTAGTTTTAGTGGCTTATTTAAGGTGTTGTATATTTAACAAAATCCTTTGTACAAGAAAAGAACAGCACCTATAGATATGTTATGGACTTAGTTGCTCCAAGGACAGACATGATAATTTATATAGTAACAGCATGCTCAATTCTGGCATCTACGACTTCTAACGGTATGTTTCCTTTTTTCCTTTATTTCTTTTACTTAATTCCCTTTTTTTTTTTTTTTTTTTTTTTTTTTTGCAGAAGACATTGTTATTTTGATGTTAGTGATGATGTTTGCTATTTATAAAACAGTCTTTAACAGATTTAATACATAAATGTTGTCATATAAACACCTTTTAAAACTTGTTTTAGAAAAGAATTCTCTTTTAATAAAATGAAAATATGACATATAATAAATAACATATATTATTTGATGACAATCTCTCGATAACTTCAATTATAAGATGTTTCTTTCTCAAACTAATTTTAGAATACAAAAAAAATCTTACAAATAGCCTGATTTTTTTTTCTAACAAAAAATAAATTGCTCCCGGGTAACGGAATACATGACCCCCATGGAATTATGGCCCGCCCTCGGCCTATATTTCTTTAAAGAATATGGACTTCCCGTTCATAATATTATCACTCTCAGGTCAAACCACCAATTACCCTCGCAAAGAATTGTGACCCCTCACCCACTTAGAATGACGACACTCCCGGTCGTTTGTCGTCATTGACCCCATCTAAGTACGTATGATAAACTTACGACGAGTTGGTAAAAATGAATGATTTACAAGTTAAAATTATAAATTATTATTCTTTAGTATGATTATTTTAATCTCAAATGTTAAATGCAGAAGCTGTAAGTGGCACTGTTGTAGTTGAATTTACCAGAGAAAAAACAAAACTAATCTGTACTACATTTTCTACTTCCAATGAAGCAATATCACTTTTTATACTTTTTGCTATTAAAAGTTTATAATAAATTGATAAAATTAGCTTGATATTAATAAAATACATCAAAGAAATATGACCTGAAAAAAATCAATATATTAAATCAAGCATTTAAGCTTAAGACAAACAGATACACGGGCAGACTTCAAAACGAAAGGGAAAAAACGCCTTCGCCAAGGCTTGGTAATCAATGGCTTATCAATGTAAGCGATGCGACCCACAGAGGAAGGCTTGACTTTTCAACACAGATAAATAATAAATGGTTTCCTAATTTTCTGCAACATTATTGTGTTTTACAGTTCGCCAAAGTTTCTCTGCCAATGAAATCGCTCTATTTTGTTTAAATGTTGCCGAAATATTTACCACACAGAACAGAACAGTGCTGAAACTGTATGTATTAAATTTATACGTTAAATATGCCGATTTAATGGACTCCGCCTATTTACATAATGCGTATGCGTGCTAATTATTTTGTTACGCGTCATTAAACAAGTGCTTGACGGAAAAGGTGTTTTGATTATAACTTTGAGATTTTAACGTTCTTGGGAAGGAATTATAAACATTACCTTTCAGCTTTAATTTTAATATTCAATGAATCCACAAAAATATGTTTAAATCCAGAACCATACAGAAACAGACTGAAGTATCAGTAAACGTACACCCGATTTTTTCATATGTCCATAGCAAATCTTTCACAATAAATGGTATTGTTTCTGATATAAATATTGTTAACATGATAGAAATACATGTATTATTATAATCACCTGCAGCAAAAAAGAGAGTGAACAATATCGATATTGCACATGCTGCAATATTATATTTGAATTAATATTATATTAATAATAAAATTTAATATCAATTAAGACAAAAATAGTTGATGTTTCTATAACAATTTTATTTAACAGTTGTTTATTTTGCCTACACTTTCCATAGCGACATAGCAACTTAGTATTTAACTGCTTCACAAATACATACATGTATGTGAGTCAGCCCGCATAGCTCAATCAGTTAGAGCGCGAGACTTGTGATCTCGACATTGTGGGTTCGATTCCCGGGCTGGCCAACTAAAACTACTTATCAGTCTTTAGGATGAGACTTTAAATCGAGGTCCCGTGTACGAGTGCTTTAACACTTGGCACGCTAAAAACCAGGAGAAGCTTCTGGAATTGGGGCATCTTTCCGAATCTGTATCTCGCACTTTCCTCCAAAATCTAAAATGACTAATACTGGAGGACTCGCCCATATAACCGGTAGCGAGTATAAATAAACTCAAATACACACACAAATACATGTAAGTACATTTGAGATTGCAACACAATTTTTATGCTCCCCGAAAAAATTTCGGGGGAGCATATAGTCGCCGCCTTGTCCGTCCGTCCGTCCGTCCATCCGTCCGTCCGTCTTTCCGTCCGTCCGTCCGTCCGTCTGTCCGCTATTCTTGTCCGGTACATAACTTTGAAACAACAAGAGGAATCAACATGACACTTTGTATGTAGATAAATCTCATGGAGTTGATGTGCAGTGCTAAAGAACCGTTAGTCGTTCTTGCCCAATTTTGGAATTATTGCTTTTTGTTCATTTTTACACTTCGATAATGTCCGGGACATAACTCTAATACTATAAAAGACATCAGCATGAATCATTGTAAGTAGATAGATTTCAATGGGTAGAAGTACAGTGCAAAAGAACCATTACCATATCTTGCATAATTTTGGAGTAATTGCCCTTTGTTTATTATTACACTTTGAACTTTGTCCGGGACATAACTCTAAAACAATAAGAGATGTCAACATGAAACTTTGTAAGTAGATAGATCTCATGAGTAGAAGTGCAGTGCACAAGAACCGTAACTCTGCCTTGCCTAATTTTTGAAT